AATAACAATATATATATATATGTATATATTTTTATTGGTTGTTGGGAGGAGCCAGCCTGGAACCGGCCTTCGAACCACAGCAAGCTCACCTTTCGTTCTCAGTTGCTTAGCTGCCGTCTTTGCTGTAGCTTACTGTGGTTAGTAGGGAACGAGGAAATCTATTATGCAGGGGTTATACAGGGACTATATAGGGGTTATATAGGGATTAGCTAGGGGTGGTATAGGGATCATATTCCCTGACTCCCTACTCACCCCCAGTAAGGTAGGGATCTGTTTTGTTGCATGCATTGTCACCTGGCCTCCTTGCTCGCAAAGAAAGGCATTATCCACCTCAGGAACCTGCGCATGCGACAAATCTCGTCCCAAGGAATATATCCATTTGGTAGTGTTTTTTACCCTTCCTTTTTCGCATTTTTCTTGGGTGGTAAGCTTCATTGTTCTCCGTCCGTCCTTGTTGAAGTCGATGCGAGCAGGAATCATCCTCATGCCTCACTGGTGTAGACATGTGTTCAAGACCCGTCTGAATAGCGTGGGCCACCACACTTCTGCCCGAGAGCCCTCTTTCTTGGCCAAAGAAAAAGCTTGCAACTCCAGCCTGCACTGTTGCCAGAGTAAGCGCGACACAGCAGAGGTTGTTGCTGGAAGTTTGCTGCCAAAAGTTCTGTAAAGGCGAGCATCCTCATCACATGTTGTGGGTCAAGGATCTATATACTTGAAAAGGAAAATCGGATCATATTCCACCGACAAGTCCTTGTCTGCAAAGTCATCCCGTTTCCGGGCACTCTGGGAACTTCGTTTTTGAGCTCCAGGTACATGCAGAACGAGCGGTACGTTGCGCCCTTGTCCCATGACGAGGCAGCTGCTCACCTTCCCCCTAAAATTGACGCTTGTGCGTTCTTGGCCCCTGTCTTGTTCACAAGTCAGGTGAACCATTTGCATGCTTTCATCTGGGCTTGCATGCATACAGGGCCAGACAGGCTTCTGCAGACAATGCAATATCAATATGATCCCTATATAACCCCATATAATCCCTATATAACCCTTTTATAACCCCTATTTAACCCCTTATACAATCCTCATATAATCCCTACAAAAGCGGGAAGCAAGGTGGCGAACATGAAAGGGAGCCTGATCGAGAAGATGGGCCGCAAGGTCCGCCCTTCCGTGTCCTTCTTTAGCTTCTTGGGGTTTAGGGTCTAGGGTGGTTATTAATGGATAAGAAAGTGGAAATTACTATATAGTATAGGGAATCAAGGGAATGGACAATGTAATAGAAACTATGATGTTATTCTTGAAGGTATAGCGGCTGCAAAGGGATCCAATCGCCCATGGCTTGCTGATAACCAGCAAGTTTCACATGTACTTTCCTTCTGGAGTAGCAACCGTGTTCTTTTGCAGGACAAACCTCCCCCCCCGCCCCAGGGCTGGGCAGTCATGTTGTTGTTACATTCTTGTCCGCCTCAATGGCTGTTGCTACTGTTCTTACTGCCTGCAGGAGGGATTGGGCTTCTACGACAAGTTGCGACTTCTCTGCGCCCTTTACGGCCTGCTGGGTGGAAAGATTCAAGCTGAGGGATTCAGGGTAGTGGTCAAGCTCCTCATTGCAAGTTCACCTGACGGCGCCTGAATACGTCTAGTCCTCGCTTTGTCCTGCTGTTGCTCGTGCTTACAATGCCCTTTCTGTCTTGATTCAGTTCAAACCATACCTTCGTTGATTCGTTGGTTCCCGATTGACTACTGTTGCTTCTAAGCATCTTGCGCGATGAAATGCTGGAGGCTATCAAGCTACTGCTCCTGGACGGCCGCTGCTGTTCATGGGCCACTAAGCTGCACTTGTGCTTGTCTAGAAGTAACGTAGTGGCGGTCTCTGGGAGCCAGGGGGAGCAAACCGTTCGAAGACCTGCATTTGTGGAGGTCAGAGGGACACAACATAAAGCCTACACGGTTCAGAGGCGAACTTGTCGAAGTCGAGGGTTAGATAAAGTCCAGGGCAGCTGAGCTTTCAACTTTACTCCCAGGCATGGCTGGCGAGATGTGGAAGCGAAATGAAATAGACAGTCATAGAAAGCATCCTGTTGCTAAGGTCAGGAGTATGGCCAGGGAAGAGAATGGAACTGCTACCAATCCCTCGACTGGCATGAAGGCGAGGAGGAGATCCGAAAAGGACCGAACTGTGATCTGAAGTATCCTAGGACGTGCCCTCCCGTGAATTGAACATATCATTTCGGATGGTTGTGTTTTTGGTCACCTTCGCAAACTGCACTGCCTGACTGCATGTTGATCTTGCCCTCGAGGTGGCCGGAATTGTAAGGTTTAGGGTTTAGGGTTTAGGTGGCTTGACTTGGGTTCTGTTCCGCTGGGTTTGGCTCACGCTGGCTTGGTTACATGCAGTAGTTACCGAAATCGCAACCCGCTTTTCTGCCTCCTAAATTACACAGGCAGCACAAAAAAGAAGCGCAGCAGAGACAGATGCTTATGGCGTGCCACATTGGCTGCGACACCTGTTCATCTCTCAAATAGCTGAGAAGCTATTGGTTTTCTCTTTTCCTTCATGGCCTGACTGACAACTCACGATTTTCGCTTGCTGTGCAGCCAACCAGTTCGTTGGGGGCTTGGTGCTGAGAGTATACGGGGCTATGGCTGAGGAGAAATTTCGCTACGGGATGTTGGGGCCTTGGGGTGCTTCAAGTGTTGGGGTTGAAGTGCGCTCTCATGCTTTGCAGGAATCTGCGTTTGGCTGGCAGATCTTTTGGGAGTTTACCAGCACCACCGCCCCTTGGCTGCTTCTTGGGTTCTCAGCTGCATCGGACATTTATTGGTTTCACAGATATCCAACCCCTTGGAAGGTCCGCTGCACATGGGCGATGATTACCCGCGAATGCGGCAGTATCCCATTGGCTCCTTCAGCTTCGAGTGGGTGGCTTGGCTCGGGGTGGCCCAGAGGTCCATGGCGGGCAATTTCCTAATACAAAGCTCTGCGGCCAAGCGCACTGAGGTGGAAAGCAATGCAGGCGCTTGCGTTGTTGCCTTCTGTCGCCACTGGAAGGCAGAGACACCTGCTGCTTGGCAGTGTTCAGAGCCCGCTGCAATCCTGCTTGCTGCCCTTCCCCGCAGCCTTGAAACCAAGGTCATGGCCATCTTCAACTTCGGTAGCCAGTATCACCATGGTTACACCATTGGTGTCCTGCTGCACTATTGTACTTGTCCACTGCATTTTGCTTCCACACCCTTTGGGTAAGCATCCTGCAACAAGAAGCATACGCAGTCCTGGAGAAAGAATGAATAGCTAAATGCTCAAGAAAGGATCCGTTGTAGTTTCCATTATCCCTCTTTCCAAATATATGTATATATATATATACCCTACTATATTACAGTAGTTAATGAAGGACTTTCCCCTGTCAGGTCTCAGCTTGGGTCTAGGATTCTCGGAGCCTGACTGGAGTAAAGCAAGCCCAGGCAGTCCATACTGGGGAGGCCCGGTGTCTACCGGGTTGCTGTTAAGGAACTCATACTAAGTTACTATAACAAGGAATGGTTATTATTATTGTGAGAATCTTTAGTATTCGTATCACTATAAGCGTTCTTACTATTATTATCAGTATTCTTGTTATCAGTACTACTATTAGTGTTATTGTGGACCCATATTCTGGTAGCTCATTTTCAGTTCCTTAACAGCAGCCCAGTCTGCAACCACGGTCCGGCTGTGCTTGTGTTGGATTGGTTGGTGGAGGGTGGGTTTGGGGCGGTGAGCCGACACGCCACTGCAAACTTCGGCCCTTTTCAATCAGTCTTTTCGTGGACTTCTTCGGCAAGTGGTTTCATGGCGGAACCAGTGAATGTGTTTAGTAAGCCTACACGGTACTGGACACAACCAATCAGGGGGCCAAGCCAAATGACCTTCCAGTCGAACGCAATTCCCGCTGAAGCTCTTTTCGCTGAAGTTGATTCCTGGTCTTCCAAACATGCGGCCAACCGTGCTACCGGAGGCTGGCAGGTGCTTCTGAATTCTGACGACGGCCGCTACGGGGGACGAAGCTTGGCTGTTTCAATTCAACGTTTGGATCTGTAAGGTAGTCGAAATGATGTTCCTTTCTGCGGAGTACCTTTACTGAGGGTTGTATTAGACTGCATAACCAAAAGGGGACACAGATTCAATTTGACAATCCCGCAAATGCACTTTGACAACGCCCGCAATCCGCCCTGTTCGGAGGTGGGGGTGGCCCTGGCAACTCGAGTGTGCTCTGGACCGTGCTGGGAGAGACTCCCTCGCCTGGAGTCTGAACGGCGTATCATCACTCTGCAGAACATAGCCTTAAAACGAAAAGATCAGGCGTGGCTGCTACCTGTATGGCTGTGAGTAGCGGGAGGGCTAGGGGGTAGGTAGCAGGGTGAGGGGCCTTCGCGAAGTGTGCAGGACCGGCAAAGCGCGATCCGATTGCTCGGACTCGCTGACGCTGGACCTCCCATCGCACAGGTGCACGCATCACTTGGGCAACCCAATTATGCCAAGAAGTACGAGAATCCCTCGTAAGTGGGAAAGCACTGGCGGACCCCAAATCCTCAGACATGCATGCGCGTGCTTGTTCTAATCTCTTTCCATAAAGCCTTCAGCCTAATGACACATCCATCTAACCCCACTATGTAATATAAGCCCCGTTATCCTAGTTTCCAGTTTATTTTCCATTATCCCTTTACTGCCCAGCTGCATCGTTCTCCTGGCCCCCCAGAAGTTCGAGGACTGCAAGGCCAGCTGAGTGGGCAGAGCCTTATGGGCCAGGTTCTGGATGTATATTGGTGTTATATAGGGGTTATATGGGGATATATCGGGATAATGGAAACTAAAACGGAACTATTATAAATTATAATGGGGCTTATATTACCAAAGATCACTCGCAAAGGCTGGAAGCAAACAAGAACTACCAAATTGTATGGTTGCAATGGGCTTCAGTGACGCGAGATGGTTCCTACAGTTGTTGGTTCTTATCTGTGCTTCCATGAATTCGGTGCAGCAAGGGATGTTGCAGCTAACTAACTAATCCGGCTAGACGGCTGATGCGATGGAACTGGTATTTGCAAGCCTGACGTGTGCTCGGAAGTGCTCACAGCCTGGATGCGAATGCTTCGGAAATACCATCCCTCTTGACAGGCCACGCGCCCTCCTGTGGGCATGAAGGGGTCCGGGGACACTTCTTGCGCAGACATCGAGCTCCTCAGCACAAGAAGTTTCTGCTTCGTACAGGTATTTGAAAGCCATGGGCCTATGGATATCGTTTTCAAGTCAAGCCCTCGGGCGGTTCGGGGCCCAATTGCTCTGCTTCAAGCCATTTGACATGCATTCAGTGCACGACATAGCCACTACATGATGCAAGTTGCTAGAATTAGCTTTCGATGTGTGGAAGGAATTTGCGATTTCGTTTTTTTTTGTGTTGGGTAGGGACCGGTGTCGGCAGTCAACGTGTGGGTCAGTTTGGAAATCTCTTGCGAGGAGCGCACTATGTTTCATAGCATTGCTTTCCGCAACGGCACCATCCAGCCTGACGAATAATCCCAATATAACCCTAATATAACCCTAAATAGTAGTTTCCATTTTCTTTTCCATTATCCCTATATAGCCCCTATATTGTATAGCAGCCTCGGTTGCTGAGCATGTTCTGTAAGGACCTCTCAAGTGGGCGCACTCAAGCCACATTGGGCATGTCTCGCGGTCAATCCATTTTTTGTGTATGTTTTTGAGTCAATCTGGCTTTGCCAAGGTACTGCTTGGGCGACATCGGCTTTTAGCTCGCCTTGCGGGTTGTTTTGAGAAATGAAGGAATGGGAAAGCAAAGAAACGATTATAGTTATAGTAACTATTGGAGATTATGCAGGGCTACTACAGGAATCCCTTCCTTCATTCTCTAGTCACAACCAGTAAGTCGTCTGTGATTCTTAACCGGCACGGGCTCCGAGTTTCCAAAGCAGTTTCTCGCTGCCACGGAATTTTCAGATTTTTCGGGCTGCAGGCTTGGTGGCTTGGTGCTCCACATGAACTTCCGGCTTAGTGAAATGCTACTATATTGTAATATATTATAACAAGCCATAAAATGTAATAAATAAATCATATAAATAATGATATACTATAGTATACTACACATAAGATAATATACGAGTGTGGGGGAGTTGCAAGGAGATGGAGCATGTTCAGTAGCTCCGCCACTTTGAACGCAGCTTCGGTCTGACCAGTTTCGACCACTAAGTGCAACTAACGAGTGGCGTCACACACATGGATGGTCAAAATTATGATCCCTTTACTATAATAGGGATGCCAAAAGGGACCATAATTTTGACACGCACCCACATGATCATACGACGGACCAAAACTTGGACCGCATTGGGGGACACCTACTTATGGGACGAAACTGCTACAATTGTGAAATCTGCAGAGCAGACAAAAGCACCCTCTCCGCACAGCATTCGTGTTTTCCTTCCTGTTGCAGATTGCAGTGTTTGCTGTAGATGCTGGAGTGTCGTGGCCAGAGGGCAAGTCTAGGATAAAACCAAACTGTTGCTCAGCCTGATCCGTTTGGATTAAGTCCAGTCTTGGCGTGCAATCAGGCGTTTTTGGTATAGTCTTCGTGAAGATGGAGCGAATATTGCTAGAGCTGCAGACGGGATGGCTGCCCGTGCATACACAAGGGCGATGAAGATGCGGGGAATTGGTATATGTGCAAGCCTTTGGGCAGTTCCTACCCTGAACATGGGTCGTAAAAAGCTGCATCCTCGTGCATGTTGTGCCGTCTTGACTCCGGACGATATTAGCGTCTAAGAACTTGAACTGTGAAGGTCACTGACTCCAAGGCGCCTTGAGTGCCATCTCATGCACTTTCCGCCGATCTCGCATATCCAGGAGCTTCATCTCAACACGTCGGGCTCCATGAATTGAGTTAAACATAGCTGTTCTCGCACAACGATGTAAAACATCGACAGGAGGATTCAGCTTGTGTCCTATGCGCACTTCGTGTACTATCCTTTCCCCTGATATTAAACGTCGTCCCGCCTGCCCCTATGTATATACTCTGCCCCGTATTTAATATTGGGGGGGGGGTGTATTTATCGTACGACCCGAACGTTAGGGGGGGAAAGAGTTCATGGGGTCCTATTGAAGTCTGATTAAAATCGTATAAATCTCGATTTAATCTAATTCGAGACTATTTTGAATTAGGGCCTCATTGGGGACTATTTCAAATCAGGGCCTTATCGGGGATGATTTCAAAGTAAAATTAGGGCCTTATTAGGGACTATTCCAAATTAGGGCCTTATGAGGGATTATCTCAATTTAGAGCCTGATTAGGGACTATTTTAAAATGGGGCCTCATCAGGGACTATTCCAAATTTAGGGCTAATTAGGGACTGTTCCAAATTAGGACCTTGGAAGCTGGTTCTGGAATTCTTTTATATAAATTCCTGCATAAAAGCTGTTCAAAAACGATCCAAATCTAGGCAATCAAGGAGATGCCCAATCCTTAAGAGTCGTGCGAATCCCCCAGATGCTTTAGGGTTTAGGGTTTTCAGCGCTGCCTGGAGCTTGGAACTTATGCTCCGATCGAGAAGCTCCTGAATTGCCGCATCGAGAAAACTGGCAAGGACTTTTTCCATTATCCCTATATAGCCCAAATATACATACCCCTATATCACACATTATCACCCATTGTAATCGTTTCCATTTGATTTTCCATTATCTCCATGTTGGGTAGCTTAGACTTTTTCCATCGACACGGCCGTCTCTGCTTTACCTGTTGGTCAGCTTCTAATCCGAAGAGCTGTTTCATCTGTCCTGGTTCAGAGTCTTCCGAAAGCAAGGCTTGTCTATCGACAGTAGTGAGATGTAGCGAGGACGAGTTCCTGCAAGGGCAAGAATAAGAAAAGCAGCAAAATTTCGAGCCTTCCGTGCAGTACTCCGTTGGAATATGGAAGCAGACAAGCAAAATGCGCAGGGTTGCAACAGCTGCAGACAACGCACTCTAGAATATTTGCAAAAGCTTTGAAGCTAGCCAATCACAAGCTTGCTTCAGGTTTAGGAGCTCCCAAGCTGTGATCACTTCAGCACGGGCTGAGTTCCAGTAAATGAATGCTGCTGACGCGGCGAGGAAAAGGCTGCACCAGCAGGATTGTGAATGGTAGATGCATTGGCATTGTAAGCAACAGCGCAGGCTTCCAAGTCATGCTAGCAAGCTTAGGCGAAAGTCCTTGTGAAACGCGTGCCAGACATGGGATTTCAAAGGCTATTGCGAGCTCTTGTAATGGCTGTATGGGCATGCAGGGTTTGCAGGCTGCAGGCTTATGTATACGATTTCGGAATCGGGCTTCTTGATATCGTGGCTTGCTTCAGCTTAGCGGCTGCATGCAGAACACCAAAGAGTAGAAGCCGGACGGCGGTAGAGATTGCTTTTAACATCCTTTCTATTGACTCTTCGTTGAGGACTGGGCGCGAGACA